CCTTGGAATAAGAGACATTAAGCTGAATATTTGCATATACAGACCTTTCTTTTGCTTCTAAACATTTTGTAAAAAGTTGCAATCACGTTTACGCATCTTAAGAGGCCGCATTTGATTTATATAATTTTCGGTTTGACTGTTGTACTTTAAATATCAACAGTTTTAAAATGCAATATTTTTTCTATATTGCTGGCTTTTCACACTTTTTTTGGCCTTGTTTGAATGTATTCATTAGAAAAGCAAATACTGATTTTTCTCTTGTTGTTTCAGATACTGAATATCGGTCTACGACGGATCGACTTTCTAGTTTTTTGTTTTCGTCACTGCCTCCCTTCGATCTCAGTCGTATAAAAGGAATATCCGAAGAATGCCAACGACAAAGCAAAATTTACGTAGAAGATTTAAAAGACTTCCAAATGTGGGCGCTCAAAAGTGAGTAGATAGTATTATTGTACTCGCCAGCTATCATGAAAGCGTGACACCGCTTCGCCTATTGTATTTTCGTTATCACCAACTCAGAAACTGTGTTAAGAATATTAGTTGGTGTGGCCAATTAATCTGGTATGCATAGCTAAAAATGGTACTAAAAAAATGGGATTAAACGTGTAGTTCATAGACTTCCATTTCAAACAAAAGTGTAAAAACATGTACTTTATAAAAATTAATATTTGGCAACAATTTCATTTGTATTCTGAACCATAGATTCCAATAAACATAAAATATATAAAGTGATCCATTTAAAAAATTAAACCTAATGGCATTTCCGGCAATTACCGGTAGTCGGCCATTTTGTTTTAAGTAAAAGTGATAATTCTACATTATATCTATAGTATAACAATTTTTATTTGAGGATGACTCAAATAAAAATTGTTATACCATAGTAGGTTTGTCTGAAAGATTCAAATCTATTGTACTGTTATTCAAATATGCCACAATATTTTACTTATTACAATTTTTGACACGATTTCGTTTACAGTGTACGATTCAACTGCCAAATTTCCTTCCGGAGTGTTAAATGGAAATCTAAATCAATTAGGCGACTTCGATATATGCCTAAATGCCGTTTCAGAAAAACACGACATTCAAGGTCAATACTGCCTAGCTTCGCTGGAACTCCAAAAGCCACAAAGCTCCTATTTATCTGGACTTTATCAACTGATACAGTCTCATAATCATTTCAAAAGTAAACTAGAAGATGTAAGTATAAATTAACAAGCCTTTAAAGACCAAGATGATTATAGTTTTGCCTAATTATATTAAAATATTTGTACGCACTGGTCTGCTAGTATCATTCATCTCATGTTTAATTTGTAGGTATACCATTTATGACATTTGTATTTACAGCCAGGTCATCGAGTTCCCCGTTTTTCGTCAATCAACTGGGCTTTGTGCGTTCCCAGCGCTTGTACTGCGCAAGACGTAGAATTAGGTCTCAGAAAAACTGTACAAACAATCATAGATGATACGGAAATCGAAATACGATATGAAGTCGATCCGTCGATGTGCCAAAAGAAAGAAGAAAAAGAATACCCGAGGTCTATGTATATAACGTTGTAAGTAAAAACATCAGTTTACATCTTAGATAAGATTTATTATATCTAAGAACTAGATAGCTCTTTTGTATAGCTAATTCTCATTGATTTTTCTTCTCCTAGTGTGGTTAATATCAATCTTAATAGATTTTCGCAGTAGCACTGCAGTTTTTTCTATTCCTGATAAAATCGCCACAGGGTCTCGTCTGTTAGACCGATGTTTTGCTTATAATGCCCCGTTAATAACGCTACTAGAACTCTACTGAGTCTGTCTTTGTTTTGGTGTATAGTTCTACCATTTCTGCTTAGTGCATGTTCTGATGACTGTCTTTGTGACAAGACGGAAAGGTTCAGAGCCAATAAGAGCTTATGAGGCTGCTTGTCGGGCTAATAAAAAGCCTCTGTTACCTGGTACTCAAGCTAAGGTAATTACCCATTCTATTAGGCTTCCAAACAGTTCTACACAAGCTTTGAGTGTACCTGTTGACTGACTGTCTATTAATTTTCAATTATCTTATGTCTACCAACCTATTTTGTTGCTATTTCTGCCTCCAATACTCTCTCATGTTTACATAAGCTCAGTGAGATTATTGTTTTCGACTGGGCACTATACACACCGACTTATGTTCCTTCTTTAGTTTTGGGATCGTCTGTATACTCTTGGACACTTTTTATTAGTTAGATTTATGAAATTTCGTCTTAACAATGTTGTTACTTCAAATATTTTCTTCATTGAAAGCGGCTTCACATATTCTATCTCCGACGCTTGACGTTTTTTCCTTAAATTTTCATCAAAAAGAGATTCTATAATATGATCTGACAGACAACAATTGTAACAATCAAAGATCCATCAATTTGAGAAAATTTACTTTTTCTAAATAAAAGGATACAAATCACTCTCCTGGTTCCTTCTTTCTAATCATAAGTTGACTTCGTCTTAAACGATCATTTTCTTTTCATATAAAATACTCTTTCAGTTTATTTAAAAGCTTTCTAGGTGTCCTTTGAATATCGCCATCAAATTTTAGAACGTCTTAACTATAAAAGGACTCAAGAGTACCTAAACGATATTTTTTCCATGTCCTGAAACACTTTACTATTGCGAGTAACTTGAAGTATCCACTATCGTCTCTGGACGAACAAAAGCTTGTATCGTTCCTCTTATTATTATGTTCAAATTCACTTTTGCTTTGTTTAGAAAGTGTCATTGTAACTTCGAGCCTTTGAGTTTTGTTTATTAGTATTTGCATCATTTTTTATAAACTAAGCATACCCACTTCGAGCGAAGTCAACCTACCCTCAGCTCATCGTTCTCTTCTTCTTTAGCATCCTACTGACTGCGCCATAAAGTATCTGACAAATTCCTTCATTTCCGTCAAACCAACTGATTCTAGTAGTCCCATTAAGTAAACATTTTGTAATATGAATTAAAACTAACTGAACTAAATTTAATGAATGCGAATAGTCCTATAAAAAGTATGTTTTGGGAGCATTTCGTCTCAAGACATTCCCATTATTTGGTTGTTTTCCAACTCATTTAAATCTTATTGCATAAATAACTATTTTAATATTTTTAGGTTAATTTTTGGTGTAATAATAGGTTGGGAAATAATTGCCACGTGTTACGACTTTTTAGCAGTAGGGGACAAAAGTAAGTAGTATTTAAATTCGCCCAGCTCTACTAACAATAATATATTCTTAAGAAATCATAATGAAATTTAATATAATTCATGTATTTGTAGATAAATGGATAATGGCGTTCTCTATCAAAGAAAATTTCATGTCGAGCATTAGCATGGAACGTCCTTCCACAGACATCGAAACAGTCCATGGAATTCGTTGTGTCAACGCCATTTTACTGCTTGTCTCTCATAAATCCATGGCTGTTTTCTTTCAACCAGCGCCAAACAGAACAGCCTACGTCGAAGTGAGTAAAAATACTTGTTTGAGCCATTGGTCAAACTAAATTGTACTATTTTTCGCGTAGGACATAGAACTGTCAACTGTCACTTATGCGTGTTAAACTGTCAACTGTCATACGTCGATATTGTACTTTTTATTTACAAAATACGCTTCTTTTAGCACTATTGTGCACCTAAGAATACTTAATTTATGTACCTCGAGAAACCGACTATAACCTGTTACATTTCTGATTTCTTTTTCAGTATATAGGAAGACCATTTTCGGTGCTGGGTCGTGCTGCTAGTCTCTACACAGACCCGTTCATAATGATGTCGGGTCTATTAACCACCTACGCCCTACTGGGGAAATTGAACAAGACTGGAAGAATTAATATCGTCGGAGAATATCTTACCAGACTGTTTAGGATAGTTCCTACATTTGCTGCTCTCATAGCGTTTTGTACTTTCATTTTACCCCAAATCGACAGCGGGCCCATGTGGAATTTGGTTGTTACGCATCATTCCGACATCTGCAAGAAGTATTGGTGGAGGAACCTGTTGTTTATCCATAACTATTTCGGATTTAAAAATATGGTGAGTTGGGTTCTGGGGTCCAAACTAAAATAGCACCATTGTACCTACGTTGCAAATCGTAGAAACAATTTTCTTTCCTCTGTCATTAAGCATGATCATTTTATATATGACAAAAAGTAAAATAACTGTAATCCCAAAAAAGCCTTGCGTGTGATATACAAATTTTAAAATTTCAACGACCTGTCAAAATGTGTTATGATTTTAAAAACATGGATGATCAATCTATATAACTATCTATATCATTGACCCTGTCAAATCACCAGGCTATATGCGTTTTCCTTTGGGGTTTGGTTCCGGTTCTAGTTAACCAAATTAGAACCAACCATTTTCCTTTCATAAACAATGACGTCACGCATAACCATTTGGTTAACATTTTCGAACCAGCCTCGCGAGTCGGTTCTAATTTGCGGTATGTTCTATCCTTATTTAAATAGTATTCTTCTCATTGTCTAACTTTTTTAAATTTAGTTTTCCCGCGGAACCTAAATAGTTCCGTACGAGGTCAACTAAGAAAATAGATCTTACTAGACACTTTTCTTATAAATATGAATAAAGGAAAAAAGAACTTAGACAAATAATATAAATAAATAAAGGTAAAATATGTAATGATCGACAAAAGTTCATAGGAATGTTTAGTATTCGGGATGAAATTTTCAAGGGTTTGTGTGTTTATTTTAACACCATTAAGATTAAGTCTGAGACTGGAATGAGATACACAAAATGTGCCACTATTTTTCAAGGGAAGATTATCATTGTGTTTATCGCTAGAAAAAGGTCTACATCGTTCGTTAAACGCTTTGACGGTAGTGTCGGTTTTATTTCTATTTTATTTTTAAAGACTTTTAAATTAGTTAATATTATTTTCATCTGTAAATTGCCTTGTCGGTAGTGTCTATTTTATTTTTATATTAAAGACTTTTAAATTAGTTAATATTATATAGCTTTAGTGTTTCTTTAGTGGTAGTTTAAAAAAATGGAAGCAGTAGATTTTATTTTAAATAATAAATTAATTTCTTTTGAAGCGACAATTGAAGAATGTGTTAATTTACTTAATGGTATGTATATAATTTAATTTTTAAAAATCATGTAATTTGTAATTTAAATTATAGATGATGAATACACATTGGATTTCATAACCAGAGCTGTACGTACTGAATCTTTAATACAGTATGGCATTACAGCTGATAATTTTCCCGATGTAATCAGGGCATCTAAACAACCCCATGCTCCAGAAGCTTTAAGGAGGCTCGAAGCAAATGAGCGAGATGTTGATGGTAAATTTTAAAATAATTCTACTCATAATGTTTTTATTTTATTTTATTATTTTAGTTAATGAATGCGATACTGAATCACAAAAAAAAAGTGTACAGACGAGCAGTGAAACTGATATTGTATGGGTCAGCCATAAGAAATCTCCATTAGATAATGAAGCGACTAAATTTTTATTAAACCTTCGAGGAAGACCGGAATATCAAAGAATGTTTTCAGATAAAAAAAATAAGAAAATTAATATTTGGCAAAAAATAGCAGAAGAAATGAAAAAAGCGGGGTACAATCTAGGTGAATCTATAAAGCAAAACACCGAAAAATGCAGGCAGAAATTTGCAAACTTGCAAAAATCTTATATTAATTTTTTAGATTCGGTAAAAAAAACAGGCGCAGAATATCAAAGTAAGCCTGCATATTTTGACGACATTCACAAAATTTTAGGAGAAAAAGATAAAGTTTCACCAAAATTTTTAATTGATTCGATGACTTCCAGTAATGAAAAACTCATACCAACTGATGTGGATCTAGCAGAAGCAGGCCCATCAACAAGAAACGTAGATATCAGTTCAGACAGTGAAACTCAAAGCAGACAAGCTTTAGAAGACCCCACAATGCCAAAAAATCGCTTTACAGCTGCAAAAAAAACAGTTAGGGAACAAAATACTAAAGGTAATATTGTAGAAGTCATAAAGGAAATGAATGAAAAACAAATAAACGAATTAAAAAATATAACATCAATAATTAAAGACAACATGGAAAAACAAAATGCCCTATTGCAAACTCAGAGTGAACAAAGGCAAGAATTAATAAACATTTTAAAAACTATAGTTCAGTCTGATAGTAAAACATCTAAAATTCATCACAAAAAAAGGCGCAGATCTTCAACATCATCCGATTAATATTTTATTATTTTTATTATAACTTTTTTCCTCTTCCTTTTTTATGTTCATTAATCGTTACATTTATTATAATTGTTTTTGGCAAAAATTATCATCATCAACATCAACTATTCAATAATATATATATATATATTTTTTCTGTTCACTTTTTTATTTTGCTCATGACTCGCTGGAGCTTCAATTACTTTTGTGCCAAGAATTTTTAACGTATTGTCAAACAATTTTAAATAAATAAATAATTATTAAGTATTTTTTCCATTTATTTTTTCAAGAATTTAGAATTATTCATACAATATTATTAAGTATTATAAGATATTATACTGAAAATCAAAAAAGGCCTTTCGAGTTGATTTCAAAGATATTTTCATAAGATTACATATTAAATTATAATTTTAAAATAGGAAATACAGATTTATTAATACAACATATTATATTAAAAATCAAAAACAGGCCTTTCGAGTTGATTTCAAAGATATGTTCATGAGACTACATATTACATTATAATTTTAAAATAAGAAATACAAAGTAAGTTTTATCTGCTTAACCTAGGTACAAAACAAACTGAAATATTACAAATTATTTCATATGATTTACATTTAATTTTAATAATTTTTTATATGCACTTAAATAAATTGTAATACTATTCATTGTATATTAGCGACAGTTCATACTTACTAAATTTAACATTAAATTCACATATGTTTCCCAACATGCAAACAAAAGTATTTATAGCAAATTGAAAATATATATTGTCTGTTCTAACAACGATTCGAAACCAGTCATTGGCACCTGAATTCTGCGCAGTATATAATTTAGGGTCCTAATAATCTACTGCGCAGAATCCTGGTTTCTAATCGTTGTTGGAACATACCTAAAATCAACTGAATATTCTAAGAATCGTATTTGTGAAATATTACACCCTGTTTAAAAAAATTTACATTTATAATACAAATAATTTGTCGTTTATTGAAGGGAATATTCAATCCAACAGGCTATGGACCGAAGTCCTTCTATTTAGAATACAATTTAATAAAAATATTGTTATTTTAAGTGAAATTGTGTTTTATAATGAACAATCACGTCACAGGTGATATACCTATAATAGTTTTCTATAAATTTGCACCTAAGAGATTTAACACTTGCTTTGTGCTATTTAAAAAGCTAATATATTTCTTAATTATATTTATTTTATAATTGTAAATATAAAATAAAATAAATTCATCAATTAGTTTTATGAATGAAAAATAGTTGTCATTTATAAATATCTTAAATTGAAATGATTTCTTTTTTGTCGTTTTGAATTTTCCTAATACTTAAAGGTAATAAATTGTAAGTCTTTGAGGCTATATAAAAATAGTATAAAGAACTGTACTGCCAATGGTAGTAGTAGAGTAGTAGAAGATATATTTTAAATAATTTAATTGATCTTAAATACATGTATTATAATTAGTTATTTGTTTCCTATTTTAACTGTTGAAACCATTTTTAGTAATATTCCACAAAAAAAACTAAATTTTGACATAAGTTCCTAATGATTTCCTGTATAGAAAATTAATGCTTACTTCCGAATTTATTTTTTCAATTTTGTTTTTTTTGGGAAATGTGATTTAATATAATAAAACTTTTTTAAGTTTTACTTGTATTTTATTGTTAACTTTAATAATAATAATAACTTTTGACATCCTATTTAAACTAAAAATGTTAAAAAACCAACTCATAAAGTGATAGAAATACCCAAAGTCCCCTGACAAAAAAATATCGCATTTTTAGTTACAGTTTGCACATGTCTTCTTATTTCAGTTGCGCTTTGTTGTTGCTTAGCCAACATAAACTTTAGTAAAATTAAGATTACGTTTTACATTTTGTCTACAAATATTAGAACAATTTAATTTCATACTTTATAAATGAATTTCCCAGCTGAACATTGGTTATTAGCATTTTTAGAGTTTTTAAAGATAATCCAAAACAAGTTCAAAATCGTGAAACAGATTCTTTGTTAAAAAATATATTACTACAAGAAGCACAGAAAATAATTATGGGATAACTCATCATTTTCTTCACAACTGGACTCTGATTCAGACTCATCACTACTTGTTGTACCTAAATAAATAATAATTGGTTCTAGATCAGAAACATCCAATTACTCATATTTTTCACAATGGGAAACAGTTATGTTTTTAGTGTCTTACATAATTGTCTCACTGAGTATCAGTAACATTATTCAAAGCTTCTGAACAAGCCTGAAATACATCTTCCAGTGAAGTCTTTGTTGTTAAATTTTTTTCGTCATTGTTCACCATTTTGTTGAATATTTATAAAAATATACAATTTTTAACAACTGCCACCTGACATAATGTAATTAATCTACGACATGCCAAAATTTAGTAACTTTTTGTTTAATCCATTTTACATTTAAACAATAAAGAAAGCGAATGGACTTGGGGTATTTCCGACTTTATATTAAAAAAAAAAAAAAATTTGAAATAAATATTATTAGGTGTTCATTAAATTAAGAAACTTGTTTTTTATTGAAAATTAATTAAATAAATCCGCAATTTTGTTCCTTTTTTTCTGTGCCTCTATATTTGGTACTTGATGTTCACGCATCTGCTGAAAATCTGTTGGTGATTCAATTTCACATTCTTCTATATTTTCTACAAAAAAATCTTCATTCAGCAAACAAAAATTATGTAAAATACAGCAACTGGTCAGAATCTGAACTGCTCTATCAATCGAATTGACATCTATATATTTTAGGATCCTCCATCTCCCTTTTAAAAGGCCAAATGCATGCTCAATTACTACTCTTGTTGAACTCAAAGCAGTATTATGTTTGGCCTGTTTGGTGGATAATTTACTATTCTCATAAGGAGTCATCAACCATTCAGATAGAGGATAAGCAGAATCACCTAATAAGTGATACTCCTCTCCAAAATACATTTTCTTTCCAAATCGTTCCAAGTTTCTATAAAATGTAGAATATTTGAAAACCTAAAAAGAAACATACATAAAAAAGATTGAAATAAACCATGGTTCTTAAAAAATTTGGCATACTGTTACTTACACGAGAGTCATGTGCTGAACCAGGAAATCCCACAAATACATATGTAAATACTTTTCTGGCTGTGCATATGGCTTGCAAATTTATTGATTGGAAAAACTTTCGATTAGTGTAGCTATCTTGCTGATTTAAAGGTGCCTTAATAGCAATATGGCTACCATCGATTGCGCCTATCACATCAATGTACCCTGCAATTTCTTTAAACTCCTCAGCAATACTATTTCGTTCTTCCTTATTTGGCCATCTGATATATCGTCCTACCAGTTCACATAATAAAATTAAACATCTCTTTGTAACTCGATTAACAGTAGATATTGTTACATTAAATCTATCCGATATAGAAACATGTGTGTCTCCTTTGGCTAAATACCACAGAGTAATGAGGAAAGACTTTTCTAAATTCACTTCATTGCGTCCACCAGTATGAATTGTTTGAATTTTACTCTTATCAAGACTTACTTGGTATAGAAGAATATTCAAAGTCTTTCTAGATACTCTAAAATGGGAAAAAAAGTCGAATGCTAGGTATTTTGAAATCCATTCCTCATAAAAATTAGGCATTCTTACATGGTCTTCTCTAATGGATGATGTTAAAAGAAGAATATCATTATTTAATCCTATAAAATAAAAACAATGAAGTTTATACTAAATTTATATGAGATACAAAAATACAAACCTAAAATACTATATAAACTCAGCACATTAAGAACTATGGCTGGGGTTAGAAAACTTGGATTACATGTTAACAATTCCTCCTGAACAACAGATGCAATAGCTAACTTCGGTCTTTTTGTTGGAGGAACCATTTTATATTATTAAAAATACAAAATAAACAAGTAACTACAGAAAATAAAAATTAAAAGAAAACAAAATTGAGAACTATAAAAATGTGTCGTATTTAAAGTTACATCAAAAATGGCAAATGACAAATGACTGACCAAACCGATAACCCATTCATTCCATTGGCTTTTGTGATGACGTCATCAATATGAACCAAAATCTGAACCGCTGTCAAAAATACTGTCATTTTAACGTCAACCATAACCAGAACCATACATCAAAGGAAAAAGCCTATTTCTTTCCTACAAAATTGTAAAAATTGTTGAAATATATTTTGAAAAAATAAGTTTTAAGTGACATTTTGATGTTATGTTTACAAAAGAGTAGGCATTAAATTATAACTGCCTCATTTTAGATAATTAATAAACACGTTCCAAAGATACATGCTTATTTTGTTACCAGTCCTAAAAACTTATTTAATTTAATAGACGGGATGTTATTGATACACATTTTGAAATATTGCAGGGCTCTCTGTTATTTCAAAATTTTTACTTTTTAAAGAAAATAGTTCAATTGTCAGTTATCATTTTTGTGCTCAACAGTGGATTGCTGTGTTCAAATGAAAAAATATTTCCTTAATGTTGATAATTAGGACTTTAATTATTTAAAAATGTATTTTTTTTTAGTGTTTGACGCATACTCACCACATAGGTATAGATACACAATTATTTTTCACATCTCCTTTCCTGATTTATATCGTATGGAAATGGCCCAAAAAGGGAGGTTTAGCACTAGGAGCTATAGCGATGGTAGCCACCATAGCGCGTTTTCTCGTTACGATTAAGATGAATTTGTCCAACTACGTTCACTTTGGCACATCGTAAGTATTATGTTAAAAACATACACATTTTTAACCGTAAATAACAGCTGAATACGCCTCTGTGCAGGCACGCGCTCTTAGTAACAAAATATTATTTAAAACGTAGTCACACCAAATATAATTATAAACAGAAGATTCGTTACATTAACTTACAGACAAGTGTCTGAAAAGTTACATTGCAAAAGATTCATTGGTCCGATTATCAGACAAGGCGTGGGTTAACATCAAGTTCTTCACAGCTAGAAGTTTAAAAATTTTTAAAACATTCCCTACGGCATG